CCATATTGGGTCTCATTTGGATGAACGTGGCGTTACAATTGATGAACATTTAGAAAGATCTCATTTCGAATTTGCAGGAAATGTATTAGCTGAAGTATGGAATTCAATGGAAATTGATGGCTATAATGTTAATGCAAAATATGTTGGGGCAGGTGAACAAGATCTTCCTGATTTTCCAGACATTAAATGGTATTCCGAACATGTGTTTCAGAGCCAATACTTGCTTCAAATTGTAAAATGTAGAAATACAGACTGCTGTCGTCCAAGAAGTGGCCTATTTAGATTACTAGACAATAGGTTCCTTCCACCACCTGTAAAAGTAAAACAAACAGTTGATGACTTGGTTTTGGATGAAGGAGGGCAATTTCTTAATCTTCCAGTCAATTTAGCTCTACGCTTAAATGCTTCACTCAAAGATTTCCTGCAAATGCCCTACGATTATTTTTATCCGACGGTAAAATTGAGGCTATCAAGTCGAACATGCAAAACGTGTGGTCTTTATCATGTTTCCGTCAAGTCACTAAATTGTCACATCGAAAATATCCATAAAAAAGTAAACACGCACACTGATAGGAAAGTTAGACCTGTAAGAGTCGCTGCTCGTCGTGCTAATGAACTGATGTGCATTATTCAAAATTTAGAGCACCATGATGTTGAATGGCTCGATGAGAACGACGTAGACATTCCAAAAGGGGTAAATAATTGTTATAAATCTGCTTACGTAATACTTGAACGGCCCCTAAACGTAAAACATTCATAGAAACGCTATGAACACTAACTAAGCCTTAGAAAAAAAAAGGATTAATATAATCTGAATACAAGTAATTCGATACTTGAAACAATCCTAAATGAGATATTTGTGGCTGTTTGTTGGAATAAAGAAATTCAAAATTTGGTTCAATGTCTGAAAGTTTAAGACCTAGATCGGGTTCTGCATTTAATCTATTTCTGTATTTATCTTTGAGGAAATTGCATGTTGAAAAAGCTTTCTCACACGGATACGTTGAGCAGAATGATAACAAAATATTCATGGCTTTTTCTGCTAAAATAAGGAATTCATTTTTTACATTGAGTCAGGAGTTTATTAAAGAACGATCTGCAAAAACAGCTTTTAGACAATTGTCAGAGGATAAATCAATTAGCTGTTCTTTTTCCTATAAAGATAAAGAAGTGTTAGAAATTATATCTCCTTCGAAAGGATTTAATCCAGGTTTATTAGGAAAATACTCTTTGAAAGTTAATTGAAGCTGTTTAAGATGTTCAGTAATATCTCTTTTAATGTTTTCGTTAAGTTAAATTTCATTCTCTGATAAAAAGCTGCTGAGTTGAGCTTCTTTAGCAAGATTTCTATTCTATCATGAACATTGAAAATGGTGATTCCCCGACCATGTAAAGACATATTTAGTTCATTTAATTTAGAAAAAATATCGGCTAAGTATGCAAGTTTTTGGAGCCACAGAATGACGTGTACAGAAGCGGACAAATGAAATGGATGGTCAAGAAAAGATGCCTGAACTTCAGACTTCAATTCAAACAAGCGGGTCAAAGCTTTACCACGAGAAAGCCACCTAACTTGTGTATGAAGTAATAAAGAGACGTGGAGACTTCCCAAGTCATCACAAAGTTCACGGAATAGACGAGAATTTGTAGCACGGGACTTTATAAAATTCACAACTTTCACGGCTTCGCTTAAAGTACTGGCTAACTCTGCGGAATACGCTTACATGCAAATGCCTGCCTATGAATACAGCAGTGAGTTCATTCTATATTCTCATTTGTTTACAATAATGGTACGTACAACCAGAATGATGGGGTGGTAGTATATGTAAGAAATGATATCAACTACAGATGTGATTTTGTTAAATTTGATGACGGTATCACAGTATTGGATTTGATATTGAGAATTAATAACAAAAGTGTAAAAGTCACATCTGTCTATCGACCACCATCATCAAACGCTTATACATTTGTAGAAAATCTTTTTTGTTAGATAACAAAAATGCCATACAGTCACACCACATCATAATAGGAGATATGAATATTAATATACTCCAACATACCAAATTAGTAAACAAATACCTCACTGTAATGCAGAGCAATGGATTCATATCAAATATAAATTCACCAACAAGAGTAGTCAATAATAGTTCCAGTTCTTGCATTGATCATTGTTTCATCAAAAATTTTTCAAATTTCTTTCGGTACATACCGTTAATTGTTGAAAACCATATTACCGATCATTTACCCACTGTAATACTTATATCATCACCAGAAAAAAATAAAAGTAGATCCATCTCCAATAATGAAACATTGAAATTTAGGTGTTTTGTCGATAATAAAAAAGTACTTGCAAATATCAAATTAGAATCGTGGACAGCAGTGTACTGTGCAACGAATGTTAATGATGCTGCAAACACACTCATTGAACCCATAAAATATTTAATTGAATGTAGTACAAACAGAGTTAAAATTAAACATTTTGACAGAAGCAGGAATCCCTGGATAACTAAAGGTTTGATGAAGTCTGCCAACAAAAAAGAGGAACTATACAAAATAATGAAAGCATCGCCATGTGCAGATACCTCCCATAAATATGAAGAATATAAAAATATTTTTATCAATCTAGTTAGAGAAGCAAAACGCCAATTCTATCTAAAAAAATTACAAGATGCCAAATCTGATCCAAGAAAACTGTGGTCAGTTGTCGATCACTTAACTAACAAAGACGTTCAAGAAAAGCCAAATATTGATGAAATTAAGAATCGTGATGGAACAATATTAACAGATAAACGACAAATATCCGATGCATTCTTAAATTTTTTCATTAATGTTGGAGAAAATTTAGCATCCAGTATTAAAAAAATGGTTTCGAACGAAAAGTTCACAAAAACCCAACTTCCCAATTCATTCTTTTTAGAAAGCGTTAGTCCGATTGAAGTACAAGAAGCTGTCCTATCACTTAAAACCAAAAAAAGTCCTGGTGTAGATGGTATCAAAGCTGAGCATTTAAAAATAATAGCCTACGACTTAGCCGAACCTCTTTTTTACGTCATTAATTGGTGTTTCCAATCTGGAATTTGTCCTGATGCATTTAAAACAACTGTTATTACTCCTGTTTATAAAAGCGGTGACAGAATGGAAACATCAAATTATAGACCCATATCAGTACTATCGAATATAGCCAAAATTTTCGAAAAATTACTACAAACAAGGATATTACAATTTTTGGACAAAAACAAAATTATATGTTCTGACCAATATGGATTTAGAAAAGGAAAATCTACTACAGATGCAATTTTGGCTGCAATGGATGAAATTAACTCTAATGTCAACAAAAAGATACCTACTATTGGTATCTTTGTTGATCTAAAAAATGCCTTTGATACGGTTAACCACGTCGAGCTTCTGAAAGTTATGGAAAGATTGGGATTTAGGAGAGCGTCACAAATCCTTTTAATAAATTACCTTTCAAGTCGGGCACAGACTGTCAAAATCACTAACACTTACAGTAAAAAAATGTACATCAAGTGTGGGGTGCCTCAAGGAACAGTACTAGGCCCACTATTATTTAGTCTCTACTTAAATGACTTATTCAAAATTAACAGTTCTGGAAAGATTATATGATGACACCCTCGTATTATATAAAGCTGATGACTGGAGCACACTGAAGCGAATAGCTGAAAAGAATTTTATAAGGATCATTGACTGGTTTGATACTAAAATTTTAACAGTTAACTTCAAAAAAACAAAATTTATTGCATTTACATCCTATTCAAAATTTTTACCTACCTTCGAACAAATTTCCGTTAATTATCATGGCCAAAAGACCATAATCGATAGAGTTAACACTTTGAAATATCTTGGAATATTTATAGACTCACATCTAAGGTGGGATAACCATATTAAATATGTTATCAAAAAAATTAGAAATGTTGCCTATAAACTCAAAATGCTTGCTAACATTCTTACAGAAAGTTATCTGCGAATCCTATACCATGCCTTAGTTGAAACCCATATAATATACGGCATCACAGCCTGGGGTGCCGCCTGCAAGACATATATTTCTGACCTGAATATAGCACAATAAACTGTTTTGAAAGCCATTTTCCATAAGCCAAGATTATATCCAACGAACAACTTATATCAAGAAACAGGGATACTTGATACAAGACAACTTTATTTCTTACATGCCACCACCTTATACCATAAGTATTGTAATAAAAAGAAAAAATCCTATAAACACGAGCATAACACACGATTTCGAATAGGCTCATCTAATATCCAAAGACCACACAAAACATTATTCAAAAAATCATTTAAATTCTTAGCAGCTAAATTATATAATGTAGTACCAAACGAAATAAAGATACTTAATTTTGGAAAAAAATTTAGAAGAAAATTGAAAGACTGGGTTAGTCATGTGCAGCGAATGACTATACATAATTATATAGAAAACTAAAACTACAAAATTCCAATTATATTAATACCTTTTAGATTTAACAATAATTGTTATACACATATATGATTGATTGTTAGTTATTAAGATATAAACCACACACAGGCGATGCCTTCTGTGGTTTTTTCATATTTATTTGCCCATTTTTTGTATTTTGGCGAATAAATATTATTATTATTATTATTATTGATATTCTTTATTCATGCCACAAGACCAGAATATGTTCCAGTCTTTTATATTGCAACGATCTGTGCATACACCTAAGCAAAATGACCAGTTTATTTCATGTTTTCAATAGTCATTGATCCGATTAAAAATTGCTGCACCAGTCATATAAGTTTCCAGTGCTTTTGCAAGTTAAAGAATACAGTTGAGAAGGTAATAGATCAAACTGCCACAAGGAGATTGCTGAATCCTCAACCTGAAGATATCTAGCATCCATCTTAGAAGGTCTCGCGTTGAACTACACAGGTGCAGCTCGCAGGTGAGAGAGGGGAGGGTCACGTGAGCGGGTCGCAGGTAGTACCCACTTCAGCGAGCTAGTGTCTCGAAGACCTTCCGACGTCTTGGTCTGAAGCCGCCGCGTTGCCAAGTGTTCTCGCGTCGCCACCCGATTGACAAGTGGTACCTCGAAGAGCGACCGTGGTGCGTTGCCGCGTGGCCCCCTCGCGAGTGGTCCGCAGCTGGTCGTACCGTGATCAAAGTGCTATGCCCATCGCATGGGGAAGATGGCCACCGGAGCCTGACGAAGACGCCGACTCCTCGCCAGCGGCCGCCCGCCATGGCCACTCTTGGCCTCTCCAAAGTTTTCATATTGGATAAGTACTTCACCGAGCTGCAGAAGTTCTGGGAAACGGAGAAGAAACTGCAAGGTGCGTCTTGCGATTAAGTAGTTCTGCTTGTGTCTCTTTGGTTGTGGAAGACACTGCGCAGTCGTCGATCAGAGTCGTTGGATTTGAATTTCTCAATGGAACGTCGATCGTGTGGCCCTGTTGTCGTTTTGAGTAGTGAACAAAAGGAAAGGAAAATAAATAAGAAAATAGTACACAAATTGAAGAAGTCTCATTGATAACAGATTAAAGGTTGAACATGAAAATCTACGAAGCTTACCTCATAATTGTATACGTACAACTTCACATAAGTACCTTATCCATATGAGTATTACCCTCTGTTTCATACCAGAGTCTTAATGGTAACGTTCTAGCTTCACATTTCCAACGGTTTGACACCCGATAGTGAACTTCTTCACCGTTAAATGACTAGTTTCAAACGGTTTCAAATTTGATTCTACCAGAACACATTTTTCTGTCAAAGTACATTTGAGTTGACAGTTTCTCCATTTCTTCAGAAACGAAGCAATAGAAGTGGGGGTTTTAGGGCAAGTTTATATAGATCTTACGTTAAATACCCGCAAATTGGAGACTGTGTGTGGTGTCCAACGGATTCTAAAGGCCCATAGTTTTCATCCGTATAAAGTTCACCTGGTACATGAACTTGATGAAGACGATTTTGATCGGCGATTACAATTTTGTGAAGATATGAGTGAACGAATTATAAACGATGAACATTTTCTATTCAACTCTTGCTTTTCCGACGAATGTTCCTTTTTCTTAAATGGCGTAGTAAATCGTCATAACTGCCGATATTGGTCCGGTTCTAATCCCAGAATTTATCATGAGGTTCATACACAGCAGCCTCAAAAATTAAATATTTGGGCTGGTATCATTTAGTTGGTCCTTTTTTCTTACGTGGAAATTTGACCGGTGAAATGTATTTGGAATTACTGGAAGACGCCATAGATCCTGCATTAACAGCCATAATTGAAAATCAGAATGATGGGCGGTACATTGCGAATAGGTTGATGTTCCACCAGGATGGTGCCCCACCACATTACGCATTACGTGTTCGACAATATTTAGATCACACTTTTCTAGATCGATGGATTGGTAGAAAAGGTGCCATTGAATGGCCCCCAAGATCGCCAGATTTATCACCTTTGGATTTCTTTATGTGGGGTCATTTAAAAAGCAAAATCTATGCTACTCAGCCAACATCATTAGTAGTCCTGCGACAAAGAATTGTGAATGAGTGCCTTCAAATTCGTTTTGTGCAAAATCTTTATTATTGCATGGAGAGTCATGGTAGCCATTTTCAACATTTACTTGCCTAGCGGGTCAATTCATTCTTCATTTTTAAATTACTTTGCTGCCAAATGTATTGATCTCCACTAATGATGATGTATTAATTTTATTTGAGCTTTAAATCAATAAATTTTCAAAACTACTGAACTGAAGTACATTAATTTTATATCATTATAAAGGGAATTGTAAGACCTTTAAAATAAGGTATCACTCGATCCCCTTTTCCATTTAAGATTTTGGGGGTGGTGTCACCCCCGCGTCTGTTTCGTTTTCGATGCGCCACCCTGTATATTCATAGTGAATATGCATTTAAACAAAAAATATGCCTGTTGTTATAAGCATTAGGTACTTATTTACCTTTTAGCGATATTTTGTAATATGTTTAAAAAGGGTGAATTTATTCTGATGAATAAAAAAGAATAAAATCAGTTTAAAAAAAATAAAAATCAAGGGATTTCCGTATATTCTTTGGCCTAAATTTTAGGTTAGGAACAAGATATCGAGATTCGGTTTTCGAGAGTTTGTTTAGACATCAAAAAAAAGTGAGAGCTTTTTTTGGCGCAAGCCTCTATAATTGCTAGGTTCTCAGATACAGTACCTCGCATTCTTAGTTGTACAATGAAAATTTGTTTTCAATTTAAAACGAACAAATTGATGTCTGCTTCCCATACAACCGGAAGTATCTACACGGGCCACCCTGTAAGGTGGAGAATTTTGCTCAACACAACCCTAGACTTGTATATCAAATGAGCAACCACTTATTTATTTATTTATTTATTTATTCATTTATTCATTTATTCATTTATTCATTTATTCATTTATTCATTTATTCATTTATTCGTTTATTCGTTTATTCGTTTATTCGTTTATTCGTTTATTCGTTTATTCGTTTGTTCGTTTGTTCGTTTATTCGTTTATTCGTTTATTCGTTTATTCGTTTATTCGTTTATTCGTTTATTCGTTTATTCGTTTATTCGTTTATTCGTTTATTCGTTTATTCGTTTATTCGTTTATTCGTTTATTCGTTTATTCATTTATTCATTTATTCATTTATTCATTTATTCATTTATTCGTTTATTCATTTATTCATTTATTCGTTTATTCATTTATTTATTTATTTATTTATTCCCAATTACAGAAAAAATACAAGAAAAAGTTACATAATTAGCGACAGCGGTAACGCCAAACACAAAAAAAACTTAAAAAAATGAAAAACAAACTCTCACTGACAAAGGTACCAGTCTCTGTAGCACTTCACGACAAAGTTCTCACTATCAAAAAATAAGTCACAGTAACTGCAAACAGAATTGAAACATGTACAAATCATATTTACCGGAGATCTAGATAATAAATTAGTATTATCAATAACTGGATAGAAAGTAATTTGAGCACGATTTCCCAACCTAGGCACACGAAAATCGAGCTTACTTAATATGAATGAACAATCAACTTGATTGTGTATGATTTTGTACAGAATATGTAGCGCTGATATGTCGCGTCTAAGATGCAATGACTCTATATCAAAGTAGAATGGTCGAAACCTCTTTCAGGATAATTGCCATAACATTTGTAATACAAATACTTTAAAGCCTTACGCTGCGCATACTCAATACTAGCACTTGAACTGTTATAGATTGGAAATTAATGAAGCGTATTCCAGCTTATTTCTAATAAATGTAAAATATGAAAGCTTTAGAGTTGATATGTTTGAAAACCCCAATTCCTTACAAAAAAGCCTAGCATCTTAAACGCTGATTTCACCATTTGAGTGAGGTGATCCTTGAAAGTCAGCTTGCCATCGAATACAACACCCAAATCTTTGAACGTTTCTGTTCTTTCGAGTAAGTGATCATTGATACTACAAAGACAGAACTTTACACTTTGATACATTAATCGTAAGAGAGTGTCTGGAGCACCAAGGATGCACCAAGTTCAAGCTGTATTGAAGAGAGATTCAGTCGTGATAGCTCTGGATAGCAGTATAAATTTTTGAGTAATCAGCATAAAGTAAATGCATACCAGGCAATTCGAGCGATAGATCATTGATAAACAACACAAAAAACAAAGGACCCAAATTGGATCCTTGGGGCACTCCAGATGTTGCTGTATAAGAATTAGATTTGAAACCACCAAACTCAAACAAATAAATATGATCTGATCAACTTCAATAAAGATTAAGACAACCCAATCATTTCAAGCTTAGAAAACTGAAAACTGGTGGAGCTCGATGGGAAACAACTTGATTAGCTTGAATTTGGAAATGTTTGCATCTATTATAAAAAATCACGAGGAATATACGTAAGCTTTATCTCAGACGTAATGGTAGCGTTCGATGAATGTTTACCTCCTGTTGAGTTAGAAGACATTTCGTACGACAAATAACGAAGATTATTTGCATGATTCTATAGGAGGAACATGATTTGCTGCAGTTGTTTCGAACTTATAAAGGTGCATTGCACTATGCTTGACCTTTCAGCGAACCACTCAAATGATGTAATTCTTCTAATCCTGTGTTGAGGATTAATGACTCTCCTTGATGAATTTCGCTAGTGCTGTTCCCTCTTAACTCACGTTTAATATGCAAGCAAAGATATAGAGAAATAATAGGAATTTATAAAGAGAATCATAAACTAACGGGTGGGCCATCTATCGGTTTCGATTTGAACCACGTGTTAATTTGACGCTGACAATACTTATGTCAATCTGATTTGTCACAAAATTCAGTATATTATCTCCGCTGAACGAAATGAATCGATTTACGCTTGAGCAACGTTGGGTAATATTGGAAATTTATTTCCAAAACAAAGACAATTGGGCAGAAATTGCACGAAAATGCCGTTCAAAATTCGGTCGCAACGAAGCACCAACAGCGCCCGGTATACGCAAGTTTATTAATAAAGTGCGTGAAACTGGTTTCATTGTTGATGCTCCAACACGTCAGCGTGCTCGTACAGTGCGTACACCCGAAGGTATCGATGCTGTGGCTGCGAGTGTGCGTGAAAATCCATCAACGTCAACACGTCATCGTTCCCAAGAATTGAACATTTCCCGCACCAGTTTACGACGAATTTTGCGGAAAGATCTCGGTATGACGCCTTACAAAGTTCAATTGGTTCAAGAGTTGAAGCCGCGTGACCATCCACTTCGTTCTGCCTTCGCTACATGGGCCAACGAGCAACTAATCAATGATGTCGATTTTGCGAAAAAAATAATCTTTTCAGACGAAGCTCATTTTCATATTGGTGGCTACGTCAATAAGCAAAATTGCCGTATCTGGGGCTCGGAAAACCCACACGAGGTCTTAGAGAAGCCAATGCATCCCTTGCGAGTGACTGTTTGGTGTGGATTGTGGAGCGGAGGCATCATTGGCCCATATTTCTTTGAAGACGGGGACGGCGCAACCGTTTCTGTCAATGGAAACACCTATCGCACCATGATAACTGATTTTTTTGTTCCTGCTCTTGATGGTATTGATGTGGAGAATGTTTGGTTTCAGCAGGATGGTGCAACTTGTCACACATCGCATGCCACAATCAACTTATTGCGCGAAACCTTCGATGGCCGTTTAATCAGTCGAAATGGTGATGTCAATTGGCCGCCAAGAAGCTGCGATTTGACACCATTGGACTATTTCCTGTGGGGCGCTGTTAAAGACAAGTGTTATGTCGACCATCCAGAGACAATTGACCATTTGAAGGCCAACATTCGTGATGCCATTGACGAGATACGGC